ACAACAAACATTACATTTATTTAAAATCAATTGCTTGATGTGTTGAAATGACTTCGCAAAAATCTTAACCGACTTATACATTCGTGCTCGTAATATATAAATTGTTGGTAATTAACTATTTATATTTAATTACTGTAATGCAAGGTTGGCGCAGTGGCTAGGCAACCAGCTGCTGAACAATGTGTCGCGGTTTTTATTCCTGTACTCTCTGATCCACAGATCATTGTTCCGTGTCTGAGTGTCATGTGTATGTGAAGTTGTACATGAAATTGACAAAATCGTAGTAGGTATGGGTCAATGTTATTCTTGTATAAGCAAAACAATATTAATATGAAGTTACCCAAATTTGATATCTAGGTATCGTATATTTTTTAATAACATAAATCATGCAACTACCAAAGCTTGGAATAGAAATGATTTTAAAATGATGGTGTTTTGTTTCCGTACTTTGATGTTTTTATTTAAATGAATAATTAAGAAATAATGGAAACATATCAAGAAACCGCTATAATCATGTCATTGTCGATCTAAGTACCTATTATTAAGGAGATCTATGTTCAGCAATGAGGTAGATGGTAAGGTTCTTTGCGTATACCTAATGCATTTAATAAAATGTACTAACAAAAATACATAAAGCAAATTTTAAAAACCAAGAGGTGTTTATTAAATATTAAATGGAAAACACCACTCAAAAACACTTACCAGGCATCAATCGTTAACTTCGAAAAGTCGTAAACATTAAAAACTGAGAATGCGACCACAGTGTTTGATTTTAAACATCATCTGAAGACAAAATACCACATCCTATATATTTTATTAAAAAGTAATAAATTAGTTATTAAAATTGACCGCAACTTTGGTTTTACGAACTTCAGACGTTACCTATTTAGTAGGTTTGGTTAAATGGTAACTTTTTTTAATACAGTTCACATCCGGTGCATGTTAAGGTTTATATTTGATAGAATTTATGACTGTTTTCATTGCGTTCTGTTTTAATATAAATACGTGGCCCGTTTCCTGTTGGTTAGTAACAAAAATAATATTTATTAAAAACAATTGGTGTAGTTTATCCATCCTAGTTACTGGAACTTGTGTAGAAATGTTTTGGTTACGTTTTGACTTTGTGGGAAGTCCATCTGATTACGTTTTGTGGGATGATGAATGGGGTTGCAGTACACATACATTAGTTAGAGAGAGTTTTGTATTTAGTTTGGTTAACAAACTCATAGCGAACGCTGGCGTTCGCGCATCTATTGTTCTTCTACTGTGTCCGGAATAACCACAGTTAACCAAAGGTTAAAGAGGAAATTACTGAAAACATATATATCTCAAAGCTTATTGATTTCCATGTTACAAAAAAAAAGAATGACTTAAATGACAATTTAAAATAGTCGTGTAACTATATATTTTTCACAAAACTATTTTCCCTAAACGCATTAAGTATAAGATAAACTCCATCTCAGGTTGACGTAATACTCCCAAACGTTTCTCTCCACACACATCTGAATTGACATCCTGTATTATTTTCCGCGAAATTTACATTTTCAACTTCAACTTCACGATGGCAAAGGAGATGGGAAAACGCAGATTCTACGAATTCTTCTTTTATCTACTTTTTATGTTTATTAAGTGTTGATAGTCTTCTTTTACCACCGCGTTAATGTTTTCCACATCTACTAAAGTTTAGCACTAAAATCCTAATCCACACCTAGTTTCCGATATCTACAGTATGTTTAAAAAAAATGTCAATAAAAATTCAACCTAACCAACGAATTCTGTCATCAAAATTTCTATGTAAAAAGAAAATGTACTGAGATAAAATGTTTTTGTGCTGAATGTAAATCAAAGAGTAGGTTAAGCATGTATGAGTCGTAAAATGGAGGCGCTAATTGATGAGTGTCGCGGCGAGCGGTGATACGCCCTGCGTTTGACAGCCCGACAACTAAACGAATTTCCTATACTAATGCTGTACACAGAAATAGCTTAGAACATTCCTAGCACTCATTACCATCAAAAATATACAATACACTACTTTCCTATGAACATTATAAATGAAAAAGTAAGTGAGAATGTAAGGATGTCAGTTTGTTATTCTTTCGAGCAAAAACAGCTGGTCAGATTTGGTTGAAATTTTGGAGTGTAGATAAGTAATACCCTGGATTAACACATAGAATGTTTATCAACGTACCACACGGGGGAAACAGAGGGCGGAAGCTAGTAAATAAATAAAAATATTTCGCGAGTAATTTTAAGCACAGTGGTATTTTTCATTCAACTATTGGAACCTAAAAATCGGATGTAAATTTGTATAATTTATTATTAAATAAATTACATATTCAGTTTTATCATCTGAACATTTATTATTTTTGCATAATTTTAATAAATTTCAATAAAAATCAACTTTTTGTATTCTTATCTTGTTTTTCCTATTATGGAGAAGTTAAGATTAGGAATGAACATTTTATTACAAGCTCGATGACAACCGGAAAAATATCTTATACTATTGTTAGCTTCAGAACCTAAAGCTATGCATGTATTTCCGTAATATTTTATTATTAAGCATATTATATTAACCTTGAATCCAAAGCCAAAAATGCAGTTTTATTAGCTACAAGTCAAATTTACCTATTATCTGTATTACTTCTTCAATATATTAATTTTATTATTTACTAATTACTAAAAATTTTATTTTAAATGTTACTCAAACTACAAAATAAAGCTCCATAAATCGATATCTCAAATAAAGAAAACAAAACGCACCAATTAAATAGTTCCGAATTCGAACATTCTTTATTTGAATCGACCAATCGTAACTCTCAAAACCTGGACTGTCGTTAACAAATTGACACGTTTTTATTACACGAAAATATAATAAAAAAAAAGTACAGGAGATCATTAAATGAAATTTAAGAACGAAATAAACAGTGTTACGAACGCCGAACGATTTCGACAAACAACAGATCAATTCCCGTTAATTTACCGCCTACTTAATTTTTAAATTTAATTGCAGTAATTTGGAAGTCAATTTACCTGATCAACAATGCTGCGGTTGTAAAGTTTTACCATTGTGCCGCCCATTGTAATTTTTTACCGTTTGCTATAGATTGTTACGTTAAAAGCCTCCAATTAAGAATTGTCACTTGAATGTGTCACCCAGTGGGCCATTGGTGGAAAATTTTGGGTTGTGATGTTTATACTTAATTTACTACTGCGCCCCGGCTATGCACAGGTGCAAGGCTGATACAAAATATAAACCTTCTTCTTCAATCACGCTACCTATTAAAAAAAACCACAACAAAGTACGGTTCGTAGTTTGAAAGATTATTGAAGCATAGGTACATAAGGATATAGGGATGTAAAAAGCGACTTTGTTGTGTTACATGTAGTGAATTGTGTAAATATAAAACAGGACTTAATATCTTGTGTTGGATTTTTTAGAAAGGTTTTAAACGACTAATTTTACTTTGTATCTGTCATCAGAGTTATCAGTTGTACTATATATTCGTTTCTTGCATGTTATTCGATATACACAATAACATCCACAATATTTATCTAAGCCCTTCAGCCTTTTTTCAAATACTTATTCGTATTTGAAAAAACCTACGTACCTACCTATCAAGAACAAACGTTATAACATCTTAGTAACTTGATATTTATAATAATAAATAATATTATTTGTTTATATTAATAAGCTAACGTCAAAAGTTTAAATTAAAAAGTTATTTAGAAAAAATATATTTAAAAAGAAGACTTAATCAAATATGTTTAGGTACGTGTTGTTTTCTATGTTTTACATTATGTAATGTATACCTAAGAGGTAAAATAATTTTGAAACGTCTGGTAATATCATATGGTGTCAGTTAAAAATGTCATCAAACCTATTGTTATAGATTTTTGTTTCTAATATTATAAACCCGAAAGTATAGACACGAATATTTCTTACTCTTTTAAGTAAAAACCACTGAACGGGTCTAAAATGAAACAATGTCTACTTTTCGTCCTTGTAGATACCTACTGCGAGCGAAACCGCTGACTTTATGTTAATAGTGAAAAGACATCAATAATTTTCATGTACCCTTTACACTAAGACAATACATAGGATATCACGCGATAATAAATTACCTAATACTTCTGAAATTGATATTGTACAAGATTATTAAGCAACACGGTAATTATTATTTCAGTTTATCTTTGCATGAAAAATTTAACAAAAGACTTATCTAACTTCTTTTCATTACTAACCCACATAAAAATATTAAAAAAAAACCAGCTATGTATTATAATTTTTAATGAATAAAACATTTTTCTATGTAACCTAATCGGATATAAGTTCTCTCTCATTAAATAATATCTACACTAATATGTCGCCAAGAAAAATTTATACAAACACTAAAATAAAAAGCTAAATTTTATAAGGAAAAGAAATTTATGAACTACAATAATAAAAAAAAATAAACAACCAAGTAAGTATTGGAGTAGCAAAATATATCTTCAATTAGTATAAAATATCATCCAATACTAGAACCGAGTTCAAACAGAAAATTTAAAATAAGAACATTGAAATTTTACTTAATTTAAAATAAGAACATTACATTTTAATCTTCGCATATTTTAAAACATGTCGCAACATGAAGACTTTTTAACGGATTAATGGGATAAAGGTGACGGTCAACATTTTTTTTGTGTCCACAAAAATTGACCGTTATCCCACTGTGCAAGTTGTAACACGTATCGAAAAAATATTGTGTAATTTTTTTTTAGTTCTATCCATACTTATTGTCAATGATTTTTTTAACCTAAGCTTTCAAAGCTTAAATTTTTGGGTATAGGTACTTAGTTTCTTCAATTAATAACTCGGAATAATCCACAAAAATATCTGTTTATATTATTATTCTTATTACACGCAATAATAAAAATTATAGACGTAAACTATACTACTACACCGCAAATTAAAATTCTAGATGAACACTTACAATGCAAATAATAAAAACAATAAATACCTTCAAGTGCGTTACCATCGTTCCTTTGGCGTTTCGAGACATCAGAAAAATCAAAGTGCGGCAAAAACTTAATAGAATAAAAATAAAATTAATGTAACAGAACTAAAACAACACGTTAAATCGTCCTATCACACCGTTTCTTTGGTATTATTTTCACATTCATATCTTATATTAAAGTCTAACTAAAAAGTCACAAACTAAAAAAAACACAAGTAAAAAATAACACAAAACTAAAAACAATAGTCCAACACAAATAATTCGCAGTGACGTTCGAATAAGAGTTCGTGCGACCGTTCCGCGATCGAACGCATTCGAAAATTTCAAATAGGAACGTGATACACGTCTTGTGAACGCGCGGCGCCGATACACAATGCTGGCAGATCGAAGCGGGTCGACAATACGCGCGCGCTACAATACCGCCCCCCGCCCCCCGCCCCGCTCCCACGTGCGACAAGGACGCACCGACCTAATGTCACTGCCCTATGAACAATGCCGTCCTTCGGAGCCCTGTTCTCTTATAAACTGAATCGAACATCATATTTTGACCACGAAATCTGCATCAGCCTCTCAAAAACTACAGGCCTGAACAAAAATTCAATGCACTTCTATTCATGATAACGCTTACAATCAATTGTCTATGCGGAATAACAGCTTTCATCCCGCGGAATCTATACAAAGCCGTTCAGCCCATCCTTTTCTAGCGGCCAATGTGTGCGTGTCGGACGAACGCGCTCTCTCCTGCTCGAGCGCGCTCTCGGCCGGCTAGGCGAGGTTTCATCTCGCTCTAAGCTCCGCCCTGCGAACGTCTTTGAGTGTGGCGATCCCCGCACAGTGTGCGTACCGCGGTGAATAGCCGGGCATTGTGAAACCATTTTCGCACACCACAATGAAACTCAGGTGGGTGTGCGCTCTATGAGGGCGTTTAAAAAGTCAATACAATCTCCGTTACGTTTGTATTTGTGGAGAAAATTTTCTTTATTCACGAATGTTGGAGGATCTAACTGGGCGTGTTATTGTGCCATTGTATTGTGAGGCGTGGCCACAGGAAAACGTTCTATTGTGTGCTGGTCGGATTGTGCGATTGGCGAGTCTCTATTGTTGTACGGGACAACGATTTCCCACCAAACCTGTAATGTGACTCCGAGCTGAACCGAATATTTTTGTGTCACCATCTCCTTTCATATTTGCATACGTGGCTATTAATCAACGGAGAGTTCAGTCGGTATTGAATTACAATGTTAATAAAATAACGATACAAATACAACATAAAGAAAAAAAAAGGAAAAAATGTAAATATATTTTGAATGTCAATGTCGACACTTCTATTTATAACGGCGCACGATTTTAGACAAACTGTAACTGGGACGTAGTACGACGTAATCCCTAAAGATCTCGCCCAATTCGCGAGTTCTAAATAATTTGAAACAAGCATTAAAATCGCTGTGATGATTCCGTTGGTTTTACGAGCAATAATCAAGTGGAAATCAAAGCGTTTTGTTAGTGATGTTACTGTATTGTACACATGTTGAATTTAAATTCAAATTGCCGATAAACGCAGTGATGGGAATGGTTGATGTCTGAATTTCTGAAATATGTTTTGTTTTAATATTGCCCCACACTAGGATTTTCTCCTGTGTCGTGGGTGCGTTTATAAACATACAATTTCACCAATTCGTGGATCACACAAAGAGTTGTTCCGTTCGGGAATCGAAACCGCAACAATATACCTAAATATGGGTCAATGCTGACTGTTTATAAATAGATACCTACTGATGTTGGTGAGAAGACGGTTTCACTTAATAGTTGGTTGATACCATCTAATCATGAATATTTAGTGACAAATCCGATAGCATAATTTCAAGCGACGGGACCACGTGCAACTTTTGTAACTTTATCGCTGTTGATTACCATTTTTAATAGTTGATTGACACTTCTTTTTGGGTATTCGAATAGTAGGATTACCTGATGGTAAGCAATCGGTGCCGCCCATGGACACCTACCAAAACAGTTACGAGTGCATTGCCGGCTTTTTTGGGATAAAGGTTTCGGATATTCAAGGATTGGGAAGGGATGGGGAGAAAGAGAGGGATTGGGCCTCCGGATACCTCAGTCAAACAGTGCTATGGTTTTAAGAGAGCATCTTAACATAGTAGTGTCTCAACTTACGATACATTTTTTATTATACAATTTATTTGTAATAAAATGACGATTAGAGTGATAAAATGTAAGCAAGCCATCATAAATCGAGTAATTTTTTTATTAATTATATAAATATGTTATAATTAATGAGTCGGTGTGTTTGCTCAACTAATTAGTGTGTTAATAGAGGTATTCCCATGTGTTATTTAAGAATAAGAATTCCCATCGTTATGATTTTTTATGTTTTTTATTCGGTTTTATGTTTTTTTTTGTGATTGGTTATTTTTTTACATTTTGACCACGATGTAGTCTGTTTGAACCACTATGCTTTTTATTTATTTTACAAACATTTGACAAAACATTGAAATTATTGTATTTTTTTTTTGATGTCATAAGTCGGCAAACTATCTCATGGATTACCTGATGGTAAGCAATCGGCCGTCCATGGACTCATAATATCAAAGATTGATGTTATTAAAAATGCGTTGCCGACCTCTTGTGGGTTATTAGGGGTTCATGGATAAGAGATCGTGGATTGAAAATAAAAGGAAAGGATAAGACCTCCGGTAACCTCACTCACACGGCGAATTACAACGTAAGTGATGCTTCACGCCGGCCTGTGAGGCCGTGGTATCACTCCAATCGTGTCGAAGCTTGTAGGTACCTACTTATTGCGGTCGAGGACAGTTTGTGAATCAAATCCGGAAAACGTTACACAGTAGCCGATTGCTCAACCACTGTGCTAATCGTGAAGTCATACCTATCATCCATGACATCCAATTGAAAAGATTCTAAAACCCAGCCATGTTATATAGAATATAAGAACTCGACCTTTTCCTAAGTAAATATAGACATCTTTACCTACCTCCATAATATCTCTCTTTTGTACTTACTTAAAGGACAAGAAATCTTCCTTTAAGGACAATGTGACCCATATAAACGCGCACGCGTGTAAGAATGTGTGTCTCGGGGGGTCGAATCCCCCTTTTACCCCCCGGGGTGGAGTTTTGGGAGGTGGGAAGGGGGGTGAACCCTGGCTCTGTTCCAAGCTTTTATTAGCCCTGTACACGAGTAAATTGCTTTTTGTCTAATGATTTGTAATGAGGGTTTTTGTGTTGTTGCGTTTTTTGTTTTTATTTAGGTAGATATAGATACTTTTTTATTTAGATATGTTTATGATTACTTTTCTGTAATATTTATATGTAGGTTATGTTTGTCTATTTGGATTTGTCTCTGTTTGTTTTTTCTAATTTTATTAGGTATGTATTTTAATAGAAGTTTGTATCAAATAATATAACATAAGTAGGTAGGTACAGACATTGTTTAAACGTATAGATGAAATCTAGGCCCTTTTGTGGATCCTACTTATCAGAAAAAAAGTCGAAAATGTTTTTTTTTGACATCGGTACCTACAGTAAGTTACCTTGTCACTGAAACCCTCTTACTTTCTCACTTAAACCTATTTTTAACATATTGTAAGAAACTTAGATAATATACATATTGTGAACTGGTATTTCTGAACCGATACGACCTCCTAACTCTCAGGGTATGAAGGTACTAACTACCTCTTAAAAAGGTCGGCAACACGCCGTGACTCTTCGACTCCTTTGTTGTTCCGGGTGTCCATGCAACGCTGATCATTTACCACCAGGAGATCCTCATTTGCCTCCCATTCCATAAAAAACCAGTTTGCAGTTAGGCTAGTCTAATAAGTTCCCACGCTTATTAACTTACCGCAAACCACAGTAACCGCACAGTTAAATACTTAAACTAACTTTAAAAAATATACTTCATTTCTATTCTAGTAGAACAGATATTATGAACTAGCTTTTGCCCGCGACTTCGTTGACGTGGAACAGTGACTTCCTGCTATTTTTTTTGTGTAAAAACTATCCTTGTCCTTTCTCGAGTTCCATACTATGTCTGTACCAAAATTCATACGAATAGGTTCAGCAGTTTAGGCGTGAAGAAACCAACCGAGATTGCGGGGTAAGCGCAATGAGACACCGCGAGAGCCCAGAGCAGGAGAAGGGTCTTTAGTCAGTAAGAGTCTGACACTCCCTTCCGACCTAACCTGGGCAGGAAGAGGTATTTGATGATTTTCCCTTCTCAAAAAAAAAAGACGTGAAGAAAAGACAGACAGGTTTTCGCTTTTATAATATTAGTTTGGATTTGATAGATATATTTTATGTGTGCAAGTGCCCTTGGCACAAATGACCCGGCTCGATAGAAAACTAGCTTGAAACAACCACAGCGTTGTGTTCCGCTGTCCCTAAAATCTAGAAAACCCTAATCCACAAAAAGCCGACAACGCACTCGTAACTTCTCTGTGGAGGTGTCGATGCACGACGCCGTTTGCTTACCATCAGGTAATCCATCAGCCCCTTTGTTACATAAAAAAACCTCAACCCCATTTCCTTACCCCTTTTGTCTCAATAATGAAGATTATCGACGCAATAAGAAGTAGCCGAACTGGGTCCAAGGCAATTACTTGATTGGTTTCTGGTGTTTTGTTTATAGTCCCCCCAAAGGTGGAGTGTAGGGGAACGTCTCCCACCCCATCCCTTGAACCCCTCCACAGCCCAAGATTATTTGCCCGTAAAGAGATTTGAGAATTTTGATAATGTTTTCGTTTGGTTGGTACGTTCGTAGGTAATTATGTCTTTGGATATTTGTTTTGTTTATAGGTAAAAGGTCGGAGTCTTGTTTTGTTTGGATTATTTTTGTTTTGTAATTGGGAAGTATATTTCCATTACGGTTCGGTATTTAGTGAAGGATAAATTAGAACAGTTTAATTTGAAATCTTAAAGCCAACAAAAAAAAGTATGCTTTTTGTAAGATCTGAGAATTGTAGTTTAAAAAATATTTAAATAAAAATGTAAAAAATGCGTCACCGTTAATTTATTCGTAATAAAATAATAAATAAATCGTTATTCTAGATAATTAAAATTTAAATTGAGATCAAACAATCTGTCTTTAAATTAAATTAATGGCCTAGCATTTAAATTTATTTAAAAATCATTTAAATAACTCCGTAGGTTTAAAAGTCAGGAATGCAATCTTTTGTCAAATCAAATTGTGATTTACTTTTATCGAATAAATTTAAATATTTAATTTAAAAAAAAGTTTATTTTTAGGCACAAAAATCAGTGTCACGAAACCGAACTGGGTACGTGACAAAAAATAAAAAAAAATGTAAGTAAAATCAAAAAGCGAATCGAACA